TTATTGTTATTATTGTTATTATTATTTTTATTATTATTATTATTATTTATTCTTATTATTATTATTATTATTATTATTATTATTATTATTATTATTATTATTATTATTATTATTATTATTATTATTATTATTATTATTATTATTATTATTATTATTATTATTATTATTATTATTATTATTATTATTATTATTATTATTATTATTATTATTATTATTATTATTATTATTATTATTATTATTATTATTATTATTATTATTATTATTATTATTATTATTATTATTATTATTATTATTATTATTATTATTATTATTATTATTATTATTATTATTATTATTATTATTATTATTATTATTATTATTATTATTATTATTATTATTATTATTATTATTATTATTATTATTATTATTATTATTATTATTATTATTATTATTATTATTATTATTATTATTATTATTATTATTATTATTATTATTATTATTATTATTATTATTATTATTATTATTATTATTATTATTATTATTATTATTATTATTATTATTATTATTATTCCTCTTATAAATAATTTGTGGTGGTAAAGAAATATGTGAATGATAGAAAAATATTATTACTTATGGATGTAAAACATAAATTAATTTTGTTTTAATTTTTTTTTAAGTATAAAAACCTTAAATTAATCAACTTTTTATCATGTTAACAGCTTAAAGGGTATTTCAGACATTTTGATAAAAAAAAGTGTATACCAGCACTTATTTGCCAAACACATCAACAACTTTTTTTTCAACTGCAGCACTTTTATCCAAACACATAACTACTTATTTTAAAAATAAGTTCCAGCACTTTAAAAGTTACTTTTTTTAAGTCAATCCAAACGGGCTCTTATTCCTATTTCTATTCTAAGTAGGAAATACTTATTTCTATTCTAACACTTTTCATGAAGGAGTCTGGATGGGACTATGATGAAATGAAGAGGCATTTGCCTGATCATATCGTAGAGCATATTAAAAGTTATATGGGACATGTAAAGACTTCTAATATGAGTGATAATCCATAGTGGATTAAAACAAGTTCTGGAAACTTTTCTGTAAAGAGTGCATGGGTGATCCTAAGGAGAAAAGATGAAGCTACTGAATTTTATAATAAGATTTGGGTACAAAATCTTCCATTTAAGATATCTTTCTTTGGTTGGAGAGTGTGGACTAATAGGGTTCCTATAGCAACAATTTTGGCTACTTGGAACCCAAATGTCTCATAATTTTGTTCTTGTTGTTCTGTGCCATCTAGAGAGACAATGGAACACCTTTTTCTTAAGGGTGAGATAGCTATCAGAGTGTGGAATTATTATTCAAAGGCTGATGGTATACTTGGTCCTTGGATTCAGGTGAAACAAACTATAAAGAAATGGTGGGATGCGCAAGGAAACTCAAGGTAGAAGATAATTTTTCAAGTTGTTCCTATTATCATTCTATGGTTTTTGTGGAAGAGAAGGAACTTAGTTATGCATAGGGTAGTATATTCAGTAGATAAGGTCATTTGGGATATTAACAATACTGTCCACAAATTAATTAAATTGAAGTTTAAGTATTCTGATGTTCCAATATCTTGGCCACATATGGTAGCTCTATTGGATGGATACAAACCAAGTTTGCAATACAAGATGGTGAAGTGGTTGCCACCCCCTACTGGTTGGTGGAAGTGTAACACTGATGGGGACTCAAGAGGTAATCCTGGGACTAGTTCAGCTGCATTTTGTGTAAGAAATTCTGATGGAGATCTAATGGTTGCTAAGGGCTTGCAAGTTGCTGATACTAATTTAATAGCAGAGGCTGTAGCTATTAGAGAAGGTCTATTCTATTGCTGGGAGAATAATTTCTCAAATGTCATTATTGAAACAGATTCTATGGCATTAGTACACATCATTAATGGTGTCTGGGAGGTCCCTTGGAGGGTGACAATGGTGATCAATTCCATTAATAGCCTTAAGGAAATGTTATCAGTAAGAGTACAACGCTCCTTAAGGGAGGGAAATACTCTTGCTGATTTTTTTGCTAACCTAGTTTTTGATCTTGCAGGTACATTTGAATTCAAAACATTTCAGGAGATTCCAAGTAAAGGAAAAACTATCATCAATATGGATAAGCACAGTGTTCCAAATTTTAGAGTCAGACATTCAGATCATACAAGAAGTACAGTGCAATAACTATAGGCATTGGTACTTTGTTTCATTATAAATAATAGAACCTTTGAAAGAGAGTCAAAATTACTACTTTCCATATGATGTCTGAAATAATTTCAGTTGGTTATAATACCATGCACCTGGTGAGAGCTCTGAGGTGTTACAAATAGTATAAAACCAGGACTCATGAGGTATTAGTACATTTCCTCTTTAACAAAGGTTCCAATTTTATATGCAGGGTTGGAATTGGCATCATATAAACATTTTAATTTCAATGCTCTTGACTTAAATGGTGGTATTAATCTAGTCGGATTCATTCCATTTAAGTAGAGGGCGTTGAAAATAAGGTGTGTATAATGAATTTCGATCAAGTTTTCAGTGGTACCTTAATCCTTGATGAGAATGAGTTGCGATAATCGAAGAATAGTCAACAAACCAGCTCGAGAAGCCTTTCCATGGTTTCCTGTGTGCCTCGGAGATCAGGAACAATACATATTAGCAATTTTTTGAGGATTTAAATGAAAATGGTGTATCAATCCCCTTTATGGGATTCAACCCATGGGAAATTAGATCTAAGAAAGCTAACTAAAATGTACTTGATCTTTAATGGGAGCTCGACCGTCAACTATAGATGCTCCATAGTTGAAGCTTTTAGTTTCTCCAAGAGACTACACCTTTCGCTGGGAATGGAAGGAGAGATTACACTTTTTTCGAGATGCGTAAGAGCTCTAGAGTTTGGATTTCAAAGGATTTGAGCACATAGAGGCAGAGGACAAGACATTCGCACTCTTAATAGTCGGAATCGGCAGTTTCACGGCGAAGGCAGCTAGATGAAGAAATGAGAAAGCTTCTAAGCTCCTGTCTGTAGCATCACCAATTGTATTTTTCTATTGGATCGGTCCTTTTTGTGCATTTCTATTGTGGTCTTGTTTGTGTTTTTATTTATTTTTTTAGTTTGCTGGTCAGACTGCATTTTTATTTAATGAAATGGCCTTACGGATTTTTCTGCATTTCTATTCTGTCTTTTTCTGGATTTTTATATTTTTCAGACGTTTACGAATTAAATTTTTTGATATATTTCGGGCAGTTACCAAAAAATGTGAAATTTTGATATTTTATTAATATCTATATTCTAAGGTAAGAGGTGCGATTCAGGAATTTTTTGAGAGGTTTTTATTTCTTTTTCTTGATTTTTATATTTTTCGGACGTTGATGAATTAAATATTTTGATATTTTTTTGGGGAGTCATGAAAAAATGTAAAATTTTGATAGTTTATTAGTATCGATATTCTGATGTGACTGGTGCGATTTGGAAATATTTTGAGGTGTTTTTATGTCGTTTTCTTGATTTTTATATTTTTCGCACGTTGACAATTAAATTTTTTGGTATTTTTAGGGAAGACACGAAAAAATGTAAAATTTATATATTTTATTCGTATTGATAATTTAAGGTGAATGGTGAGATTCGGGAATTTTTGGAGGTGTTTAGTCTTTTTCTTCATTTCTATATTTTTCAGACGTTTACGAATCAAAGTGTTTGATATTTTTTAGAAAGTCACAAAAAAATGTATTTTTTATATTTTATTCATATCGATATTCTAAGGTGACTTGTGCGATTTGGGAATTTTTGAGGTGTTTTTATGTCTTTTTCTTGATTTTTATATTTTTCGAATGTTTACAAACTAAATTTTTTGATATTTTTTGGCAGTCACAAAAAAATGTAAAATTTTGATATTTTATTCGTATCGATATTTTAAGGTGATTTGTGCGATTTGGGAATTTTTTGAGGTGATTTTATGTCTTTTTATTGATTTTTATATTTTTCGGACGTTTACGAATTAAAATTATTTATATTTTCAGGGCAATCACAAAAAAATTTAAATTTTTGATATTTTATACGTATCGATATTGTAAGGTGACTGGTGCAATTCAGAAAATTTTTGAGGTGTTCTGATGTCTTTTTCTAGATTAAAAATTTTGGTATCTTTTTGGGTAGTCACGAAAAAATGTAAAATTTTGATCTTCTATTCGTATTGCTATTCTAAGGTGACTAGTGCGATTCGGAAATTTTTTGAGGTGTTCTTATGTTTTGTTCTTGATTTTTATATTTTTCAGATGTTTACGAATTAAATTTTTTGATGTTTTTCGGGTAGTCACTAAAAATTTAAAATTTAGATATTTTATTCGTATCGACATTCTAAGATGGCTGGTGCGGTTCGAGAATATCTTAAGGTGTTTTTATGTCTTTTTCTTGATTTTTATTTTTTTCAGACATTTACGAATTACAATTTTTGATATTTTTCAGGCAGTCATGAAAAAATGTAAAATTTTGATATTTTATTCGTATCGATATTCTAAGGTGACTAGTGCGATCAGGAATTTTTAAGGTGTTTTTATGACTTTTGGTTGATTTATATATTTTTGGACGTTTACGAATTAAATTTTTTCATATTATTAGGCAGTCACGAAAAAAGTAAACTTTTGATGTTTTATTCGTATCAATATTATAAGTTGACCAGTGCAATTAGAATATTTTTTGAGGTGTTTTTATGTCTTTTTCTTGATTTTTATACCTTTGGGACGTTTACAAATTTAAAATTTTGATATTTTTTGAGCAATCACGAAAAAAATTAAATTTTTGATATTTTATTCGTATTGATATTCTAAGGTTACTAGTGCGATTCGTAAAGTTTTTGAGGTGTTTTTATGTCGTTTTCTTGATTCTTATAATTTTCGGATGTTTACGAATTAAATTTTTTGATTTTTTTAGGGCAATCACGATAAAATATAAATTTTGATATTTTAGTAATATCGATATTCAAAGGTTACTGGTGTGATTCGGGAAATTTTTGAGGTGTTTTTTTTCATCTTTTTCTAGATTTTTCCCTTTTTCGAAGTTTAAGAATTAAATATTTTGATATTTTTTGGGTAGTAATAAAAAAATGTAATTTTTTTTATAATTTATTCGTATCAAAATTCTGAGGTGACTGATACAATTCAGGAATTTTTTGAGATGCTTTTATGTCTTTATCTTGATTTTTATATTTTTCGGACTTTTGCGAATTAATATTTTTGATATTTTTCGGGCAGTCATGTAAAAATTTAAAATTTTGATATATTAGTCATATCGATATTCTAAGGTGACTGGTGTGATTCGAGAATTTTTTGAGGTAATTTCATGTCTTTTTCTTGATTTTTATATTTTTCGGACGTTTACGAACTAAAAATTTTAATATTATTCAAGCAGTGATGAAAAAATGTAAAATTTTGATATTCTATAGATATTGATATTCTAAGGTGACTGGTGCGAATCGGAAAAATTTTAAGGTGTTTTTATTTCTTGTTCTTGATATTTATATTTTTCGGATGTTTACGAATTAAATTTTTTGATATTTTACGGAAAAACACGAAAAAATGTAAAAAAATTAACATTTTAATTGTATCGATATTCTTAGGTGACTAATGCGATTTAGAAATTTTTTGAGGTATATTTATGCCTTTATCTTTATTTTTATTTTTATATTTTCGGACGTTTACGAATTAAAATTTTCAATATTTGTCAGGCAGTAACGAAATAATGTAAAAATTTTATATTTTATTCATATAGATAGTCTAAGGTGACTGGTGCGATCCGGGAATTGTTTGAGGTGTTTTTATTTCTAATTCTTGATTTTTTTATTATTCGGACGTTTACGAATTAAATTTTTTATGTTTTTCGGGTAGTGACGAAAAAAAGCTATAATTTGATATTTTATTTGTATCAATATTCCAAGGTGACTGGTACGATTCGGTAATGTTTTGAGGTGTTTCTCTATTTTTTCTAGATTTTTATATTTTTCGGACGTTTACGAATTAAATTTTTTGATAGTTTTAGGGCAATAACGAAAAATATAAAAAATTTGATATTTTATTCGTATCGATATTCTTAAGTGACTTGTGCGATTCGAGAATTTTTTGAGGTGTTTTCTATGTCCTTTTCTTGATTTTTATATTTTTCGGACGTTTACTAATTAAATTTTTTGATATTTTGTTTGTATCGATATTGTAAGGCGTCTGGTGCAATTCAAAAGAATTTTGAGGTATTTTTCTTGATTTTTATATTTTTTGGATGTTTACAAATTAAATTTTTTGATATTTTTCGGGCACTTACGAAAAAATATAAAATTTTGATATTTTATTCATATCAATATTCTTAGGTGACTGGTGCGATTCGCGAAAATTTTGTGGTGTTTTTATGTCTTTTTCTAGATTTTTCTATTTTTGGACGTTTACGAATTAATTTTTTTGATATTTTTTGGGCAGTCACAAAAAACCATAAAAACTTTGATATTTTATTCGAATCGATATTCTTAGGTGATTAGTGCGATTCGGAATTTTTTTGAGGTGTTTTTATTTCTTTGTCTTGATTTTTGTTTTTTTTGAACGTTCACGAATTAAAATTTTTGATATATTTTGGGCAGACACTAAAAAATGTAAATTTTTGATATTCTATTCATATCGATATTCTAAGGTGACTAGTGCGATTCGGGAATTTTTTGAATTCTTTTTATGACTTTTTCTTCATTTTTATATTTTTCGGACCTTTACTTACGTATTAAAATTTTTGATATTTTTCGGGTAGTCACGAAAAAATGAAAACTTGATATTTTATTCGTATCTATATTCTATGGTGACTGATGTGATTCAGGAAAATTTAAAGGTGTTTTAATGTCTTTTTCTTGATTTTTATATTTTTCAAACGTTTACGAATTAAAATTTTAGATTTTTTTTGGGCAGTAAGAAAATAATGTTAAATTTTGATAATTTATTCGTATCGATATTCCAAGGTGACTGGTGCTATTCGGGAATTTTTTGAGGTATTTTTATGTCTTTTTCTTATTTTTTATATTTTTCTGACGTTTACGAATTAAAAGTTTTGATATTTTTCAGGCAGTCAGAGAAAAATATAAAATGTTGATATTTTATTCGTATCGATATGCTAAGGTAACTTGTGCGATTCGGGAATTTATTGAGATGTTTTTATGGTTTTTTCTTGATATTTATATTTTTTGGATATTTACAAATTAAAAGTTTTGATATTTTTCGGGTAGTCACGAAAAAATGTAAAATTTTAATATTTTATTCATATCGATATTGTTAGGTTAATGGTGCGATTCACAAAATTTTTGAGGTGTTTTTATTTATTTTTCTAGATTTTTATATTATTGGACGTTTACGAATTAATTTTTTTGATATTTTTTTGGCAGTCATGAAAAATGTATAATTTTGTTATTTTATTCATATTGATAATCTAATGTGACTGGTGGTTTTATGTATTTTTATTAATTTTTATATTTTTCGGACGTTTACGAATTATAATATTTGATTTTTTTCGGACAATTACGAAAAAATGTAAAATTTTGATATTTTATTTGTATCAATATTTTAAGGTGACTGGTGTGATTTGAGAATTTTTTGAGGTGTTTTTATGATTTTTATATATTTTTTGGACATTTACTAAATGAAATTTTTAAAAAAATTTCAGGCAGTCACGAATAAATATAAAATTTTGATATACTATTCATATCGATATTCTAAGGTGACTGGTGCGATTTGGGAATTTTTCTGAGGTATTTTTATGTCTTTTCCTCGATTTTTATATTTTTCGGACGTTTACCAATTAAATTTTTTGATATTTTTATTCATTCATGAAAAAATATACAATGTTGACATTTTATTCGTATCGATATTTTAAGATGACTTGTGCGATTCGTGATTTTTTTGTGGTGTTTATATGTCTTTTTTTTTATTTTTATGTTTTTCGGACGTTTACAAATTAAATTTTTTATATTTTTTCGGGCAGTCAAGAAATAATGTAAAACTTTTATATTTTATTCGTATCGATATTCTAAGGTGACTGGTGCAATTCAAAAATATTTTGACATGTTTT